CCTGCCTGACTAACATCTAAGCCTCCTAACATCTAAGTTCCTGGCTGCTTTCTGCAGTTGGCTGCAAACCTTCGCTTGGAGCTGGCTTGTTCCTGACACGGACTGAGACTGACAGTGTGAGCACAGGCAGAGAGGAGTCAGGGGTTGACCCTGCTACCCAGCAGTGGGACAGTCCCAGTCCTGCTGGCTCTTCTCCATCTCTGACACTCTGCTCGAGGAGAGTCCTGCATGTTGCTGAGCAATGGGCCGAACAGGCCCAGAGAAGGAGCCTATCGACCTTGCCTGCTTGGGAGGGGTCCAGAGTGAGAGGCTAAAGGGGGAGGCGGGGCCAGAGGTCAGTTTCAGCAAGGTCTCTGGCCAAATGAGTCAAGTTTAAAGACGAAGAACTATGCGTTGGGAAAGTAGAGACAGACTAAGCAGGCACACACTTCCTCACAATGGTGAGATGTCTTGTGCTTCCATTTAAATTACAGTATCCCCCCCCACACACACACACACCTCAAAAGAAATTGCAATCTTTAAGGAAGATTGGAAAATGTTTGTAGAATATCTGGAGAATCATTGTAAACAGGTTAAAACGTTAGCAGGATTGGAGTGAATTCAGCAGCAAAAAGTATGTTGAGATAAAATGAGAGAGGAAAAACTCAGAGGAATTAGAATATGAGGCCGCAAGGGATAATCAGAAGGAATCATGGAAGCGTGGGGGGGGGGGGAGAAGGGAAGTCGATGTTTAATGTAATGTTTTGCTTTGTATAGGTGGTCATGAAAAAAATATAAATACAATTTATATATTGAAAAATTGCAGGTACATTATATACATAAATTAGCATATGCAAATCTTGTACAAGTCTGCCATCTTTTGTTCCAATCTAACACCGGGCATGGTTGTTGTTTTGGTCAGAAAAATAATTATTGTGAGTTGTTTCTTTTTTCTTTTCTTTTTTAATTTTTATTGGAAATTTTATTTACAACATAACACAAACCCCCCACCCCCCAACACAGAAATCCACCCCATCAGACACAAACATAACAAACCACAAGCATAATATACAACAATACAAACAACCAAATAAAAGACTTCCTTTATCCTGTTTCTGGCATCCTTATTTACTTCTTATAAGCTGTTTCCTTTATGAATAATTATTAAGCTTTTTCTAATTATAACTTAAATATCCAATTGTGAGTTGTTTCAACTGGCTGGCAATATGAGATCCTGAAGAGACACAGCAGTAATTGTAATTTTTAAAAACTGGAAATTGATGAAACCATATATATCTGACTATATCTATCTATTTATTATCCATCCATCCATCCATCCATCCATCATTGATTTTAGTGAGACTGCTGATACTGTTTAAGGCCTCGTGCCCCCTGCCCATGCCTTAAGCCTGAAATGTTATCTCAGGGTTGTTAGCCACAGTTATTCCTAAAACAAAAAATAATACAGTGGTACCTCAGGTTACATACGCTTCAGGTTACAGACTCTGCTAACCCAGAAATAGTGCTTCAGGTTAAGAACTTTGCTTCAGGATGAGAACAGAAATTGTGTTCCGCCAGTGCGGCGGCAGCGGGAGGCCCCATTAGCTAAAGTGGTGCTTCAGGTTAAGAACAGTTTCAGGTTAAGAACGGACCTCCGGAACGAATTAAGTACTTAACCCGAGGTACCACTGTAACAGGAATTGCCCTTCTTACTAATGCAGCCATGTGGTAAGAAGCTCAGGATATGGTACAATGAATCCCCACCCCCTTTAATAATATTAATAATAATAATAATAATAATGTTTGCTTGCCCTTCTCTACAGCCTCGGCTACAGTAAGCAGCGAGCCTTAGAGAACGTCCCTTAGAAAATGAGATTTTATGAGGCGCACTGAAAACCATTGGCAACAGAGAGAAAGGAGTCCCCCGCGCGTGTGGCGGAAACACAATGCTTACAAATTATTAGCCTTTGTTGGAATTAATAGCACACACCCAGTCACCTAAAGTGTCAGAATTAATCGACATTGTTACAAAGAAAGTCGGAAAGGGAGAACATTGGGCTACTTTCTGCCATAAAAGTCTCTTTCTGCCATAGCGCCTTACCGTGCGGTAGAGTGGATGTTGCCCCAACGGCACTTGCTAGGGAGTTAAATCTCACTTTGCTCACTGAGGGTTGTTCCTGAGCGAGTGCAGTTAGCACAGAGGAGCAGTGGTGCCACCCTCTTGACAGCTGTCATCGCCTCCTGAGTGAGCAGTGCTTCAGATTGCACAGTAGGTGGCATGTTGCCCATATTTCTCTAGGATCTGTCTCAAGAAGATGGGGGGAAAGGAAAAACCCAGCTCAACTCTTCTTTGAAGGATGAGAAAACCAGCACGTTCAGGAAAGCTAGCAAGCAAGTGGTTCAGCTCATTGTTGCAGAAAGCCAGTTACAGGAAACAGGACTCATAGAATCATAGAATCATAGAATCATAGAATCATAGAGTTGGAAGAGACCACAAGGGCCATCGAGTCCAACCCCCTGCCAAGCAGGAAACACCATCAGAGCACTCCTGACATATGGTTGTCAAGCCTCTGCTTAAAGACCTCCAAAGAAGGAGACTCCACCACACTCCTTGGCAGCAAATTCCACTGTCGAACAGCTCTTACTGTCAGGAAGTTCTTCCTAATGTTTAGGTGGAATCTTCTTTCTTGTAGTTTGGATCCATTGCTCCGTGTCCGCTTCTCTGGAGCAGCAGAAAACAACCTTTCTCCCTCCTCTATGTGACATCCTTTTATATATTTGAACATGGCTATCATATCACCCCTTAACCTCCTCTTCTCCAGGCTAAACATGCCCAGCTCCCTTAGCCGTTCCTCATAAGGCATCGTTTCCAGGCCTTTGACCATTTTGGTTGCCCTCCTCTGGACACGTTCCAGTTTGTCAGTGTCCTTCTTGAACTGTGGTGCCCAGAACTGGACACAGTACTCCAGGTGAGGTCTGACCAGAGCAGAATACAGTGGCACTATTACTTCCCTTGATCTAGATGCTATACTCCTATTGATGCAGCCCAGAATTGCATTGGCTTTTTAGCTGCCGCGTCACACTGTTGGCTCATGTCAAGTTTGTGGTCAACCAAGACTCCTAGATCCTTTTCACATGTACTGCTCTCAAGCCAGGTGTCACCCATCTTGTATTTGTGCCTCTCATTTTTTTGCCCAAGTGCAATACTTTACATTTCTCCCTGTTAAAATTCATCTTGTTTGTTTTTGCCCAGTTCTCTAATCTGTCAAGGTTGTTTTGAAGTGTGATCCTGTCCTCTGGGGTGTTAGCCACCCCTCCCAGTTTGGTGTCATCTGCAAATTTGATCAGGATGCCCTTGAGTCCATCATCCAAGTCGTTGATAAAGATGTTGAATAAGACCGGGCCCAAGACAGAACCCTGTGGCACCCCACTAGTCACTCTTCTCCAGGACTCAGCCATAGGGGAGAGAGAGCAACCTCACTGCTTCATCAAAACGACATGCCCTCCAACATTTCTCCAATGGAAATAAAGGTAAAGGGACCCCTGACCATTAGGTCCAGTCGTGACCAACTCTGGGGTTGCGGCGCTCATCTCGCTTAATTGGCCGAGGGAGCCGGCGTACAGCTTCCAGGTCATGTGGCCAGCATGACTAAGCCGCTTCTGGCGAAACAGAGCAGCACACGGAAACGCTGTTTACCTTCCCGCTGGAGCGGCACCTATTTATCTACTTGCACTTTGACGTGCTTTGGAACTGCTAGGTTGGCAGGAGCAGGGGACGAGCAACGGGAGCTCACCCCGTCGTGGGGATTCGAACCGCCAACCTTCTGATCGGCAAGTCCTAGGCTCTGTGGTTTAACCCACAGCGCCACCCACGTCCCCCAATGGAAATAGGGATGTCCTAATCATTAATAATAGATATATTATTTATACCCCACCCATCTGTCTTCTAAAGGTTGTATAGTTACTTATCTCCTTGGCTCAAGGGGTCGCATAACTCCATACCCTCCAACATTTCTCTGATGAGAATAGGGACTTCCTAAGGAAAAGTGAGACATTCCGGGATCAAATCAGCAACCAAGACGGCTTTTGTAAACCTGGGACCGTCCCTGGAAAATGTGGGAATGTTCAGGGTGGCAGGAGAGGATATCTTGTTTATTGATAGCCTTCCTAACTAGTGCTAGCAAGTTACTCTACTTACCAGAGTTACATTCCCCTTTTTACATGCACAGCAGATAGCTGGTTGCAGGCTCGTGTGAGCCTCTCACTATTATACAATTTGGTCTGTCTTCAGATTGAATAGTACGTTCCTGGTAATTTCCCTTGAATCTCTCTTAAAAGAATAAAATGCCACAATCTTATTCAAAGTCAATAAAAGAAGTTTACTCACATCAGTTCACAGTTGGATTCCTGAAGGCAAACTTAGTTACAAATATGTTCATGTGGATAATCCCAGTGCTTCTGCTAGCTGAGAGCTAGCAGAGCAGTCCTAGCTAAAAAGCTGGTCAAACGATGAAGGAAGCCAAGAAAGAGAGAGGTTGCTACATGACTCGTCCTTTTGTTACCTGGACAGGTTAGGTCATGCCCACTTTCTATCACATGCAAAAGGAAGGATGCTCCAGCCAGGAGGAACAAGAAGTTTCAACTGGCTGGACCAAACATTCCTTCGCGTGTCTTCTCTAGCATTTCAAGGAATGTTGCACTTGACTGCCTCTCATGGATCACATCCCACAGAAAACAGGGACTGTTACGGAAAAATCTAGGTGTGAGGCTGCTCAGTCACCCAGCTCATCAGGCAGAGCCTGCGGGTCCCTGCGGGATAAAGGAAGGAGTCCAGCTACCAACCAGAACAAATAGCTGTAGATCAGTTTATTGCGCAACAGGTTCAAAGAGGAATTTTGAACCCCGAGGATGGGGTGACAAAGACTTTTAAAACTTTCCCACCATATCCCAGAATACAATTCATACAGCATCATTGCTACATCATTGCTACATCACTGACATGTCACAAAAGGGGAGGGTTAGACAGGGGTTACACTAGTTTAACCTTGGCAAACATGTCCAGACAAGTCCTTGGTACAAGATTAACATACTCAGACATGGCAGGGCAAGACTCAGGTATAAGATTAGCGTAGACAAATATGTCTTAAGTACCCACCACCCAAAAGTACAATAGAACTTCCTTTGCATGTCTGGAGCCTGAGGCAAGTCAGGTGATGAGATTTGGCTTCCCTTGGCTAACAATGAGCCCAGCAATTGTCACCTCTGGGAACTTCCTGGAGTCCTTTTTCAAGGGGAAAATAGCTTTGGAATGGAGGAAACTGGCAAATGAGTTGATTTTATATTATTTTTAAAGTTAGGTAACTTCCCTGAGCTTACATGCAGGGAATATATTCAAGGATACAGTCAGGCATAATATTTGTAACATTTAACTTTAAAGATGTGCCCCCCCCCCGTAATTTCCGTAACAGGGACACTTGGAGGGTCTGGACTCAGGGGCCACTGCCTGCTACATTCATTCTGGGGTTTAGCACCCTCCATGCAGTTACACCAGGAGTTTACAGTTTTATTTGCACTGCCCGTTAAACCACCTGTTATCCTCAGTTCTTCTTCGTTCTTAAGCCAGAAAGATGCACAGGCACGCACAAAAGTACAGCGGGAGCCTGCAAAGAATGCTCGTTTCGTTTCATTTCCCTCCCTAGATGGGCATCTATCTGGGCTTTGAAAGTTTTTCCCTCTTGTGACCGCCTGCGGCAAATAAACAAAATTCCCAGGGAAGTGGCGGCGGCATACGGCACTCAAACAGCCCCCTGAATGTTATTGTTCTCAGAGTTGTAAGGCGTTGACTACAAACAACCTCTGAATGGCAAAGGGAGAGGGCTTGCTGAAGGCAAGGTGATATTCCCTCATTAAAATACAGTCGTAAGAAGTGTGCGTGTGTGTGTGTTCAGGAGGGTAGAAAGCTCTGCCTTAGAGCAGATCAGAAACCACTTGGAAGTCCTTGTTTGCAAAAGCAGGGGGAAAAGGGAAACATGTATTGTACTTGTGCACAGAGTAACCCCCGGAGAACCGTTAATGCTGCCGCGTGTTAAAAGGAAACTTTTGTTAACTAAGTATGGATCACAACAATTGCATTTTGGGAACATTGTTCGAAATGGGCCTCCCAGGTTGTGCTTGCTGAACACACAGCTGAAAGGACGACATGGAGTTTGTGCCTTGTTATATCTGGTGTTTCTGAAGTATTTCTAGAATTTCAGGTCGCTCACAATATGCCAGGCCGACTTATGCATCATGAAAACAAGGACACTGATTGGCACAATATTTACATATGCTAATATAAAGTAAAGGTAAAGGGACCCCTGACTATTAGGTCCAGTCGCGGCCGACTCTGGGGTTGCGGCGCTCATCTCGCTTTATTGGCCGAGGGAGCCGGCGTACAGCTTCCGGGTCATGTGGCCAGCATGACTAAGCCGCTTCTGGCGAACCAGAGCAGTGCACGGAAATGCTGTTTACCTTCCTGCCGGAGCGGTACCTATTTATCTACTTGTACTTTGACGTGCTTTCGAACTGCTAGGTTGGCAGGAGCAGGGACCGAGCAACGGGAGCTCACCCCATCGCGGGGATTAGAACTGCTGACCTTCTGATCGGCAAGTCCTAGGCTCTGTGGTTTAACCCACAGCGCCACCCGCGTCCCATATGCTAATACAGAGACACACAAAATTAGAAATGATTGCTACAATTTAAATAGAACTATATCTCAGTGTAGTTGGGAAGAAGTTGCATGCAGAAGGTCCCAGATTCAGTTCCCGACATCTCCAGGCAGAGCTGGGAGAAACCCGTGTCTGAAACTCTGGAGAGCTGCTGCCAGTCAGTGCAGGCAATCCTGAGCTACATGGACCAATGGTCTAATTCAGTATAAAGCAGCTTCCTATGTTATGCTGCTATGAAAGACCGACAGGTGAGCTGTGCACCTGCTCCGTCTTCTCTCTAGGTGCGAACTGTTGATGGGCCCCTGTCCAAAAAAGGGAGGTACGAGGAGGTCCGGGGAAATAAGTGTAAGGAAGATATGCTATGGAAAATTAATGTGTTTTTAACTGTTTTCATTTTGTTTGTTTCTTTTTATTTTTCATTGCTTTGTTATATCTTAATAAGGGTTTTTTTTATTCTTCTTGCGGTATTTTGTATTTTCTTGTATTTTTATTTTTTGTTTTTGTGTAATTCTTGTATTTTTTGAAATTTTAATAAATATCATTTAAAAAAAAAAAAGATTAGCGTAGACAAATATGTCTTAAGTACCCACCACCCAAAAGTACAATAGAACTTCCTTTGCATGTCTGGAGCCTGAGGCAAGTCAGGTGATGAGATTTGGCTTCCCTGTCTGACTGAATGGCAGAGGGGGAGCTTTTCACCTGCCACTTTCAAATGGCTACACCCAGTCTAGGTCCATTCCCAAGTCCAGGGTGGAAATATACTCGGAGTCGAGAGTGGATTTCATGTTCTTTATTCAGCTCCTAGTGGTGAGGAGGAATGGAAGTTCCCCCAGAATGTCTGCTTTATATACATTATTTACACAATGGGCCCCACGTAATTGGCTAATTCCGGGATTCTCCTGTAGGCCAATCAGGTTGCAGATTCACTTCCACCTGGAGCTGGATTGGCTGGTTCCTGTGGACCAATCAGACTGCTGCGTTCTGAATCCTATTGTTCTAGGACCAATCAGACTGCTGCGTTCTGAATCTTATTGTTCTAGGACCAATCAGACTGCTGCATTTTGAATCCTATTCAACTCAGTACATAACAAGGGTCAAGATCCATTCGAAAGCAGCACATCGCGCCACAACGAGAGTCAGCCCAAGCAAAGCCACAGCCTTCCAGTTGAGTTGCGCTTGGGTTTTCCTGGATGTTGTTAGAAATTGACAGCAGAGAGTGCAGACGCGTGTAACCCAAGCGGACGGCTGAATCAGCAGAATGAGCCCTCGTTGGTAAAGATTTATTATACGTTATCAGTAGCATCCACAATCTTTCTGTGATTAGAGCTCCATTGTGCGTAATTATCTCATAGGAATCTGGCTCTTTGATGTGTGTTTCATCTACCAGGCTGAAATACAGTTCAATTTGAGTGGCTTTTTCATGGTTGGGTGGAATTTACATTAATTCTTCTAGGCCTGCAGGGCTGGATTGGACTGTCACTAGTAAGATCATCATAAATATTCATATGTACAGCGTTCTTGTAATGCTGGCAAAGAGGCAATCAAGGAATCCCAATAATGACTAGCTCTGGCGCCATTGTGGAAACAGAAGCCTGTGTAGAACTGATGTAAAAGGTAAAAAAAGTAAAGGAACCCTAGACGGTTAAGTCCAGTCAAAGGCGACTATGGGGTTGTGGTGCTCATCTTGCTTTCAGGCTGAGGGAGCCAGCGTTTGTCTGCAGGCAGCTTTCCGGGTCATGTGGCCAGCAGGACTAAACCACTTCTGGTGCAACGGAACACAGTGACGGAAACCAGAGCACACAGAAATGCTGTTTACCTTCCTGCCACAGTGGTACCTATTTATCTACTTGCACTGGTGTGCTTTCGAACTGCTAGGTAGGCAGGAGCTGAGACAGAGCAACAAGAACTCACCCCGCCATGCGGATTTGAACCGCCGACCTTCTGATCAGCAAGCCCAAGAGGCTCCGTGGTTTAGACCACAGCGCCACCCGTGTCCCTTCTGTGTGGTACTGATGTGGAAGCCTATAGAAATTGTGCCTCCCCACATCCAAGAGCAACAACACCAACCACACCATGTGACTCCAAGACAGTCCTATGGGTGATTCCAGTGCATGTAGGAGATTCCTAGCTCATTTCCTGGCATCTCCTGATGGGGCTGAGAGTGTTCCCAGTTAGAAACCCTGGAAAGCTGCTGCTACCAGTCAGTGTAGGCAGTGTAGGCAATGCTGGGCTGGAGAGACCAATTGTCTGACTCCCCTGTTTCAATGTGGCCTGTCCATTTTAAAGGAGAAGCGTCTTAACCCAGCTCCGAGTCAGAGCAGAACTGAAACAAGCTACGAGCACTATGCCTATTAGCTCTTCAGAGACAAATAATCTGCCATTGAGAGCTAACATGGGGGAGATCAGGCTGAGCGAGCGGAGATGAAGATCACTTTAATAGCTCTTCTCAAAGCAGCAGCGATCAGGCAGCCGCACAAGACAGAGGAGGAGGAGGAGGCCTCTGTGTAGGTAAAGGCTTTGTTAAAGGGAGGCGAGGAAGAAGCTGGAACGCTGTTGTCAAGCAGCGCCGTGCTTTAATTTCATGCCACATTATGACAATTGGCTCTGCAAAGCACTCGATGCGTGCGGCGGCCGAACTGGTCTATTACAACTTGTGCCACCATGGCCAATGGGCCTGCGAGACTCGCGATAAACCTGATTAAATAGCAATGTGGAGGGAAGGGGGGGGTTGATTAATTCAATCTAGCAGCGTCTAGATCCAGTCTGTGGGGAGAGCTTCACCCCGCTGCTTCAGCCCTCCGATCCTAGCTTTGCGAGATGGGGGAATCCTACGCTACTCTGCTTTCTCACAAAACAAAAACAAGCATTTGTTTCGTTTTGCTTTTATTTATTTAATTATTGCATTTACACCCTGCCTTTTCCTCAAAGGAGCTCCAGGTGGTGTACATAGTTGTCCGTCCCCCCCCCCTCCTTATTTAATCCCCACAATAATTCTGTGGGGTAGGTTGGGCTGAGAGGTCCAAGGTCACCCAGTGAGCTTCATGGCTGAGCAGGGATTCGAACCCTGGTGTGGCGTTTGCCTCCTAGGTGGGTCATAAGGAAAGGGTTAAATGAGTGTGATGTGATTGGCCAGAGAGAAACTGATAGGAGGAGTTAGGGTTAGAGTCGGAATTGTGTGGAAGTCAGTTGCGAGTTGTTGGGAGTTGGAGAAGGAAGAGGGAGGATACGTCTGTGGGTTGGTTGGTTGAGTTGTGTTGTGAGAGAGTGAGAGGAACTGTTAGGTGGAGTCAGATAGTTGGGATAATCAGTTTGAAGTTGTTAGGGACGAATAGGTCAGTAAAGAAACTAAGATTAAGAAACTGACAAGAAAAATTAACTGAAACCTTAAACTTGTTCATGCTTCTAAAAATAAACTTGATTATTTGTTAATGTTAACAACTGACTGGACTCCGTGTGTACCCGAGGGAAACGGGTTGGTGGCAGCAAAGAGGCAATCCCAGTGGTGGCATAGGGATCAATAGACTGTCAAACGTCCGGGGACCCTGTGTGATCGCCACACCTGGTCCCCCAGCTCCCAGTCCAACACTCCAACCCGTACGGATCTCACAGAGCTCTTCAGTACTCCATAAGCAGCATTTTAGACAGCCGCAGGTTGAGAGACCTGTCCGGGCTTACTAAAGGACACAAACCACCGCCAGAAATAAAGGCCGGTGTGAAGCTGCAGTTTTAATAATAATAATAATAATAATAATGTGCAAGCAGGAATACACACCACTCAGTCACCTCTTAATTATGTTAAGGGAAGAAGGAGACTTCTTCCCCCTTCCCACCGCCACTGAGGGATTATGGGAGAAAGTCAATCCCTCTTACTTCAGCCACATAAATCCCCTGTATCTATTTGTCTGCAATTTGGCAGGCTTAATCCACTCTGCACTTGTAAATTTCATCCACGTTTGCCAAAGGGAGGCAGCCATAGCTGTTTTTAGATTCCACGTTATAGTGAACTAGCAGAAAGTACTAGGCATTGCTCGGTAATTCTGCTTAAAAAACGGAAAAACCCTGAGATTTATAAATGGGTAATGCAAAGTTTCCTGCCAAATTTTGTCAACACCAGCACAGTTTTAAAAGATTCTGTCTGATTCAAAATGGCCTCTGGTGTTATCCAAACAAAGACCAAAATCCTCTCCTTGATATCACAAACCATCATGTCAAATTGGGAGATTTTTTGGGAGAAATTGGGATGGTCAGAGGTGCTCTAATCAGCACAGTTTAAAATGGTTTAGTCTGCCATCTGGATTCAAAATGGCATCTACCGCATTCAAACATAGACAAAGCCCTGCTCCTCTATCTCAGGAACTAGCAAGCCTAACTGAGTGATGATGTGTGTCAATGCATAAAGAATAGCTGACAGACAGACAAGCAGACAACTTTCCAGGGTTCTGTCTATGTTTGTGAAATATACTTGGAGTCGAGTGTGGATTTCATGCTCTTTATTCAGCTCATAGTAGTGAGGAATGCCAGTTCCCCCAAAATGTCTGTTTTATATACATTATTTACACAATGGGCCCCACATGATTGGCTAATTCCGGGATTCTCCTGTAGGCCAATCAGGTTGCAGATTCACTTCCACCTGGAGTTGGATTGGGTGGCTCCTGCAGACCAATCAGAATGCTGCATTCTGAATCCTATTGTTCTAGGACCAATCAGACGGCTGCGTTCTGAATCCTATTGTTCTAGGACCAATCAGACTGCTGCATTCTGAATCCTATTGTTCTAGGACCAATCAGACTGCTGCATTCTGAATCCTATTGTTCTAGGACCAATCAGACTGCTGCATTTTGGATCCTATTCAACTCTGTGTATAACAGTTTGGATACCACTGGATACCATTTTGAATCAAGATGGTGGACTACATTGTTCCCAGCATGCATTTGGATATCATCGCCCAATTCTACATGAAAATTCCCTAGATCAAGGAGCAGGCTTTTTCTCCACATGAGCTACCATGGGACACCATTTTGAATCAAGAGAGTAGATGGAATCTTCCTCAATTGCACCAGTTCTTTGGTTTCTGAGAATTCCTGAGCAATGCTGAGTACAAGGCTGCTAGTCTCCCATTATGTATATGCATTCAGGCCCTGAATTTCTCATGGAAGAGATGAAGAACTGTTTGGGTACACAGCTTGCGATTCAGCAAAGGTAAAAGCAACCCATGTGGGCTGGTAGCCTGCTAAGCACTTGACAGCTGCCCCTCTTCCAAGGCCCTATGCAGAAAAATCAGGAGGTTTACTTGGGATTCAAATACACTGTTTTGAATGCGTTATAAACATGCAACACCAGATGGCACCAGAGAGTAAAATAAAAAATTCTATGGGATTTTCTGTAGCATTTTTTCTTCTTTTGTTATAGCAATTTAATTTCTGACTTATATTGGTTTTTTCCTGGGTGTAGACTCACCCAAGGATAGCTGATGGGTTTCATTTATCTTAATAGTTGTCTTAATTGTAGATTTAATGTACCATATATAACCCAAAGTCCAGTACTTTTCTGGGAAAACCCAGCCAGATGGGTGGGGTATAAATAAATTATTATTGATATTGATATTGATATTGATATTTTCTGGTCATGTGTTGTTGTTTATTAATTTGTATTCCGCTCTTCATCCAAATATCACATGGCAGTTCACAACATAAATGGAGCAGCTCTTTCTCTCTGGAGAGTGAGAAAAAGCAGTTTAGATTCAAAGCACTTTGAATCCAAACTGCTTCCTCTGCAGGCTCCTGTAACCGTCTAGCAGCTGATCAGCAGTTACAGCAAATCTTTTTTTATTGGTGCTGCAAGACTGTCTTCCGAAGAGGTTTGCTGCAGGCATCTGACTGGCACTTAGTCACCTCCTTTGACCTTTCACTGGTGTCAGTCACCTGGTTTTATTATGACATCAGATGACTGGCAGGTAGGTACTCCCGTCTACCTGTCAAAGTTGGTCTACGGGGGAGGGGGGGTAAGGAACCCAGCCCATGGGCTGGATCCAGGTTGCCACCCCTCTTTTACAATGTTAAATGTTTAGTCCATACCTAAGGATTTCGGGACGCGGGTGGCGCTGTGGGTTAAACCACAGAGCCTAGGACTTGCCGATCAGAAGGTCGGTGGTTCGAATCCCCACAATGGGGTGAGCTCCCGTTGCTCGGTCCCTGCTCCTGTCAACCTAGCAGTTCGAAAGCATGTCAAAGTGCAAGTAGATAAATAGGTACCACTCCGGCAGCAAGGTAAATGGTGTTTCCATGTGCTGCTCTGGTTCTCCAGAAGCAGCTTAGTCATGCTGGCCACACAACCCGGAAGCTGTACACCGGCTCCCTTGGCCAGTAAAGCGAGATGAGCGCCGCAACCCCAGAGTGGGTCACAACTGGACCTAATGGTCAGGGGTCCCTTTACCCTTTACCTTAAGGATTCCCAGCGCCCGGCTCAGCTGATACATGCACCTCAGAGCCCTATATGAGTTATCAGAGCTTAGAGGACACAGCAGTAACCAAGATTGGAATTCGCTTTTTTTCCTAGAAAGCTATAAATAATGGTAAATAGAAACTATTGCTGCTATCCTTCCCCCCCGCCTCTCTGTTTTAGTGCAATTCAGATCCTTCACTTTAAACGATGGCAAGGCAGATTTGCTCCAAATCAGTTTGTTTATGAAAGCAAGCTTTAAATAAATTGCTGGTAATGAAACAAAGAGGGGGAGGCAAGAAAACAGGGTGGTTTTTTTCTCCTGCGCTTATGGTTGTTGCTAAGGGGTGGGGTTTTTTTGTTTTGTTTGTTAGATCTTTCTCTGAAAGCTGCCATTCCTCCCAGTAAAAAAAGAAAACTCATTTCCCTATCCATTTGTGCAAGCCATAATTTCCTGCTGCTCTCGCTGCAAACACATAATGGGAATTGCAAAGGGAGAAACCCATCTTGGAACTGCAAGAGAGAGAGATCAGCAAAGCCTTATTGTGCATTTGCCACCAGGGAAGCAGCGACGGGGAGAGCGGGGTGAGTGTGTGTGTGGAGTGACTTGCCTTCTGAAATACATACGAAGGCCTACTGCTGGTGCTACCATGGTCAAATCAGTTTCAATTTAGGAGGGTCATACCATTATCCCCCCCCCCATCTTGCACAGATAGGAGCCGGCGGGTAGCTGCAAAACTGTGGATAGCAGAAGCGGCCGAGTCTGCAGGAAGCCACTTTGCGTTTGGGTTTTGCAGGCTCTTGTCAAGCCACGGCAGTGATGAAAACCAGCAATAATTTAATATCACTCAACGCTCGGCTGTGTTAACAGTAATATTGCAAGTAATGCTATTAATATAACGATGCATTAGGAACCGCGTCGCTTTCAAATACGGTTGGCCTCGGAAAATTGGAAGCAAAAGGCCCAAAAGAACCTTTAACAACGAATTCTCGGCACTTTGCAAAGCCGCAAAAAACAAGAATCATTGTTTGTGTGTGTGTCTTTGCAGGGAACAAAGCCGTGGCAGTTAAGCTGGTGTGAAACGGAGACAAATTTGTAGTCTTTGGGCCTACTTCTACCACCTAAAAAAACCCTACTATTCCCAGCTTTGTTCTTCAGCAGAGGTGGGGAAGCTCTGCACAAGCCCATCTGTTGGGTAGGATGAAGCACATGCCTCAGGAGATGGAAGCAAAAGAGGGAGTGCCCCGCCTACCCTACTCCTGTGGTGTAGTGGTTAAGAGCAGTGGACTCGTAATCTGGTGAACCGGGTTCGCTTCCCCGCTCCTCCACATGCAGCTGCTGGGTGACCTTGGACTATTCACACTTCTCTGAAGTCTCTCAGCCCCACTCACCTCACAGAGTGTTTGTTGTGGGGGGAAAGGGAAAGGAGATTGTTAGCTGCTTTGAGACTCCTTAAGGGGAGTGGAAGGTGGGATATCAAGTCCAAACTCCTCCTCCTCCTCCTCTTTTTCTTCTTCCACTCCCACCGGAACACACACACCCCTTCCAGCAAGAGGGAAGCTTTCCATTGTGTACCGTATCTTCACAATGTATCTACCGTACATTGTGTATCTTCACCACCTCTTGATATCGAGAATCCTTGATAACTTCAGCAGTGGGGTGTGGTAGTTCGAGCATTGGACTTTGACCTGGGAGGCCAGGGTTCAAATCCCCACTCGGCCACAAAGCTCAATGGGTGGCCTCGGCAGGGCAATGTCTCTGGGCCGAAACTTACCTCTCAGGATAGCTGCAAGGATAAAAATATGAGGAGGTGGAAGAGCTGTGTGCGTGTCAAGCTTCAGGGAATCGGCTCCCCCCCCCCTCGCCGCCGCCCTCCGGTGGTAGTAGATAAGCAGAACAAAGGAAAAGGAGTCTTCTTACCAGTTAGGAACTTTAATAATCACAGCAAGAGAACAAAGAATCCATTTCCTAGAAATGGCGGTGCTCCCAATTAAGTTCGCTTCCCCCTCCGTACCCAGGGCCATCATTACCCAGGGGTGCAAGGGGTGTGGGGCACCCAGGCGCCGAATTCTGGGGGGGGGGCGCTGGGCACCCACTGCTAAAGCCACCTAAGCACATTGTATTGAGCTGCTATGTGGCAGCAGGGTCAATAGCATCTTTGACACAACTGATCTCGCGCCGCCTGCCTGCCGGGAGGAGGGGGAGTGACAGGAAAGAGGGAGAGACAGACAGAAAGAGAATGCACCTATCTAGTGACGGGAGCACGAACAGGCTCCGGAAGAAGAATTCCCAGCTCCTGTAGAAATAAGGTTGCTCCCACAATGAAAGGCTGCCCAATATGGCTCTCCCACGCATGCACACAATGCCCTCCTGTCTCATCTTTCAGACACCTCCCTATGACCATAAGCACATGCGTGGAGTCTTTACACCGACTCCCAATGTGTTCTTTGTCTTCTTTAGAAAAGCTGGTTTTAAACAAACAAAACAACTCCTTTTGGAGCCACGCAGGCATGAGCGCTATTTGTTGTTGTTGTTTGGTCGTTTAGTCATGTCTGACTCTTCGTGACCCCATGGACCAGAGCACGCAAGGCACTCCTGTCTTCCACTGCCTCACGCAGTTTGGTCAAACTCATGCTGGTAGCTTCAAGAACACTTTTCCAACCCTTTCATCCTCTGTCGTCCCCTTCTCCTTGCGCCCTCCATCTTTCCCAACATCAGGGTCTTTTCCAGGGAGTCTTCTCTTCTCATGAGGTGGCCAAAGGGATAATAGTGACATAAGCATAATAAAACTAAATTTGGGCAGATCTTTGCACCCCAGCGGCTCATATGCTAAAGATGGCCCTATCCGTACCTATTAATCTACCTCACTCCTACATCTTCTAATCCGAGCTTGTAGCCTCTGTGTTTTCTGTTCTGCAACTTTCTGAGCTCTCCGGGACTTTGGGGAAGGGGGGTGGATGCTATCCAGAGACTGTGAATCTATTAACTCTCTCTCTCTTCCAGTGTTTCTTCTCCTAGCTGTTCCCCATCCATCCAGTATTTCCCAGCTTCTGCCTTCTGAACTGTGCCCCTCTGCAAACCACTGTTCCAAATCTATACTGTCCTCCTGCTCCTGGGAAGATTCAGGATCAGGGGGAGGGGGTGGCTCCCACCATTCCTCCTCATTTCAGCCCTCCTCACCACAGTCCCTGACAGTATACCACCTTGAGGAGGAGGAGGAGTTTGGATTTCATATCCTGCTTTATCACTACCCGAAGGAGTCTCAAAGCGGCTAACATTCTCCTTTCCCTTCCTCCCCCACAACAAACACTCTGTGAAGTGAGTGGGGCTGAGAGACTTTAAGAAGTGTGACTGGCCCAAGGTCACCCAGCAGCTGCATGTCGAGGAGCGGGGACGTGAACCCGGTTCACCAGATTATGAGTCTACCACTCTTAACCACTACACCACACTGGCTCTCAAATCCCAGAGCTCCTTTGGAGGAAAGGTAGGGTGAAAACATTGAATAAATGAATGAATAAGAGTTGCAGCCACAGACCGCTAGAGGGCATCACATTACCAATTCACTGGATGCAGTGCGGCTTTGTTCAAAGTTAGCCTTTGCAGGGCCGTGCTGCTTTTTGTTTGCAAGAACAGTGACCAGATTCATGCTTTGCAATGACCACGTTCATCACTTATTGGCCTTTTAGCTAGGATCAAGTGTAGGACCACATTTATGTTTTGCAAGGGAAATCAGCGCTGGAAGAACAGCCGGTGTGTTTGTGCGTGTTTGTGTGTGAATGCAAAGGACCATCGCTCCCACCTTGCTGTCAATAATCCACACCAGAACTACATAATCACGGCATTTAATTAAACAACAGAGGGAAAAGGCCCATGTATTAATAATGCAGCCCAGCACTTCAGCATGTCGGGCTAAATATTATTTTCAAATTCGTAATGGAACACCTCGGCATTTGCAAGAAAACAAAATGTTATTAGGAGCTTAACAAAGTCCTTTCTTCGCTCAGAGTTCTTGCATCCCAGGAGCGAGAAGATGAAAGGGTATCCGCGGGTGAGGGCAGTGGATAGGAAGGATGGATTTTCAACCCCATTTTCCTTAGGTGAACAACCAGGGAGGTAAAGTGCCAGATTACCAAACAGGCAGAGTAAGCACCATCCTATGGGCCTCATGCCTTGGGGGGGGGGCAAGGGGACGCGGGTGGCACTGTGGTGTAAACCACAGAGCCTAGGGCTTGCCGATCAGAAGGTCAGTGGTTCAAATCCCCGTGACGGGGTGAGCTTCTGTTGTTCGGTCCCTGCTCCTGCCAACCTAGCAGTTCGAAAGAACGTCAAAGTGCAAGTAGATAAATAGGTACCGCTCCAGCGGGAAGGTAAACGGCATTTCTGTGCGCTGCTCTGGTTTGCCCAAAGCTGCTTAGTCTTGCTGGCCACATGACCCGAAAGCTGTCTGTGGACAAATACCGGCTCCCTCGGCCTATAGAGCGAAATGAGCACGCAACCCCAGAGTCGTCCGCGACTGGACCTAATGGTCAGGGGGTACCTTTACCTTTACCTTTATGGGCCTCACACCTTTTAGGGGGGGCCCAGTGACAAGGGATCAAAATAATATTAATTTGATCTTAAAAGAAAATTACAGTCAAGTATTGGGAGATGTTAGGTGTTGAGCGTTATTGTATATTCCTGTTATTGTCTCTTTCTGTTGTCTTTCTTTCTGTTATTGTTATCTTTCTGTCTCGACAGACAACGCCTCCAGGGGTGAAGTCAACCCGAGTTGTTTTTGCTATGTTATCAGCACCAACGTGAACTCTTCAGGAAAATGCTATTCCTCTCATGGAGCTACAATTCCCAGGGTGCTTAATCAATCATTCCCTCTTCTGAGGGATCTCTGGGAATGTCTTATAAGCTGCCGTAGGTGTTTGAGCTGGAAGACCGGATAAAAATAAAGGTATAAATAATGCCAAGGCAACCAGATTGATATAAGCGCTATTTAGTGCCAAGCTGCAGTTGACGCTAAATACACCGTTATTCGCTTATTTACTTAAATTATTTCTAACCTGCCCTTTGTTGAAAAACGATCCCAGCATGGGGTACGATGAGATTCAAAACACAGAACATAAAACCCATAAATAACATTCCAGTCCCCGTAACTATAAGAAGGGATTAAAAATGCAGTAAATAACAGTGATCATCAAAAGTAAAGACCAGGTTCATCCTTCAAAATAAATTCACAACAACTAACATCCTATAAATGCCCGAGAAATTAGAAAAGGAGAGGGAGTGTCGGTGCCAACTGTACTTCGAAGAAGAGGGCTTTCAGTTCTGGTTGCCTTACTTCAAAAAGGATATTGTAGAATAGGAAAAGGGCAACCAAAGTGATCAAGAGGATGGAGGAAAGGCTGTGTCATAGACTCATAGAATTTGTAGAGTTGGAAGGGACCACAAGGGTCATCTAGTCCACCCCCTGCAATGCAGGAATATTTTGCCCAGCTTTGGACTCGAACCCAGTGCCATGTATTCAGTGGTCTCTGTTTGCCTGAGCTTGAGTCTGGACTAAGGATTCTGAGCTCCTGTGTTCTGATTCGATACATGATGCCCAATCACAGAACATTTCTGGATTTGGTCACCTGCCATTGGCCCTTAAACTCTGAATTGTGATTCGCAGCTTGGAAGTTTAGACAGCCAATCACATTGGGAGTGGCCCAGGCTTTCAGGAATGTATATAAGCAGTTATGCTTTGCCCCTGCTTTCCAGTTATGTAGTTCAGTAAAGGTTCTTGCTGGTATCGCTGTGTCTTGCCTCGTGGGAACCTACCTACACTTCACCCACAACCCTGAGATTAAGGGTCTCATGCTCCACCAAACGAGCTATCCCCTGTCATTTGAGACTTTTTAATTGAGAGCAGGCATGGCCAAACTTGGCCCTCCAGCTGTTTTGGCACTACAACTCCCATCATCCCTAGCTCACAGAACCAGTGCTCAGGGATGGTGGGAATTGCAGTCCCAAAACAGCTGGAAGGCCACCACTGATTTAGAGGAAAGTTTGGACACCAAGTTTGGCCACCACTGATTTAGAGGAAAGGCAAGTTAGAGGTGACATGATAGAATCAGGACCATCTTAAGCATATCCGGCACTGTGATGCAAAGCTCCCTCCGGCACACACACCCCAATTTCCCAGAGTTTTTTAGGGAGGCTGGCTTGCCAGCGGGGCTGGAGGAGGCGGGCAGCGGCTGGAGGGCGGCTCCTCCGGAGGGGAAGAAGCGGAGGCTGGACGCAGCGCCTCCCGGCTCAGATGGCAGCTCCGTGCCACGGTGGCCACAGCAGACGGAGGCTCCAGGCGTGGCGCTGCTTCGGCACGGCATGGCGGAGGCGGGTGAGGACAGCGGGCTGATGCCAGGAGGCGCCATGTCCAGCCTCCACCTCTTCCCTGGCGCCCTCCAGAACTTGGCTCCCTGGTGCCCCGCACCACTAGCCTCTATGGGTAAGACGCCCCTGGATAGAATTACGCCTGGCATGGAGAAGTGGATCCAGAAAAGTTTTTCTCCCTCTCTCTTGAATTCATGAACATCCAACGAAGCTGAATGTTGGAATATTCGGGACAGGCAAAATAAATTGCTTCCTCTAATTTGGATAAGAAAATTGGCTTCCAGGTGGAAAAATCAAAATTGGAAACAGAACTGTTAGAACCCAAAACTAAGATTTTGTCAAAAATGTATAACTTGCTGTTGAAATGGAATACTCAGGATGAAACGGTGAAATCTGCTATGATTAAATGGGCACAAGATCTTGGACATAATATTATGTTTGCTGACTGGGAACAGTTGTGGACCACAGGTATGAAATTTACGGCATGTAATGCCCTAAGAGAGAATATTATGAAAATGATATACAGGTGGTACATGACACCAGTCAAGCTTGCAAAAATCTACCATTTGCCCGATAATAAATGTTGGAAATGTAAAGAAAACGAAGGTACATTCTTTCACCTTTGGTGGACGTGCCCAAGGATTAAGGCTTTCTGGGAGATGATATATAATGACTTGAAAAAGGTATTTAAATATATCTTCTTGAAGAAACCAGAGGCCTTTCTCCTAGGCATAGTCGGCCAATTGGTGCCAAAGAAGGACAGAACTTTTTTTATGTATGCCACAACAGCAGCAAGAATTCTCATTGCAAAGTATTGGAAGACACAAGATCTACCCACCTTGGAAGAATGGCAGATGAAGGTGATGGACTATATGGAACTGGCGGAAATGACTGGCAGAATCCGAGACCAGGGAGAAGAGTCGATGGAAGAAGATTGGAAAAAGTTTAAAGATTATCTACAGAAATATTGCAAAATTAATGAATGTTAGAATGATGTTGGATAGAAACTCAGTGGTCTTTAGCTGAAATGTTATAAGGGGATATGAAAAAATGGTTTATTAATAGGTAAAAATCTAAAATTACAATATTTTATGATTAATGATTAGGATATATAAAGAGGGGAGGGATTTGTTGAACTAATAACTGAACTGGAATACAAAAAAGGGAGGTGTGAGGAGGTCCTGAAAATAAGCAAATGAAGGATAAGTAATGGAAGGAAGGAATTGTTTTTAACCATTTTTACTTTGTATTTTTTCTTTTTTCTTTTTTTTGTCTTGTAATATTCTGAAAATCCTAATAAATATCTTATAAAAAAAAAGAAAGAAAGAAAGAAATTGCTTCCTCCTGCAGCACATAGTTCAACTAGGGGACTCTCTTCCACAGGACGGCCGCCAAGCTAGATGGTTTTGAAAGAGGCTATGTTCTGTATCCACGTTCAGAGGCAGCCACGTTTCTGAGTACCAGCTGCTGGAAACCGGGGGGGGGGGGGTTGACCTTGTGAGCTAATCCTGCTTGCGGGTTTCTCACAGCCATCTGGTTGGCCAGTGTGAGAACCAGATAAGCCATTGGCCTGATCCAGCAGGTTCTTCTTTTGATCAATAACTGCAGAAAGTGTCTCACAACACTTGTGAGTTCCAAAGAGTAACAACAAGTTGAAGCTAGAGACTGCACACAGTCACCAGTGGCATTATGTTGTTGTTGTTGTCGTTCAGTCATGTCCGACTCTTCGTGACCCCATGGACCAGAGCACGCCAGGCACTCCTGTCTTCCACTGCTTCCTGCAGTTTGGTCAAACTCATGTTGGTAGCTTCAAGAACACTGTCCAACCATCTCGTCCTCTGTCATCCCCTTCTCCTTGTGCCCTCCATCTTTCCCAACATCAGGGTCTTTTCCAGGGAGTCTTCTCTTCTCATGAGGTGGCCAAAGTACTGGAGCCTCAGCTTCACGATCTGTCCTTCCAGTGAGTGGTGGCATTATAATGCAGTGCAAAAATGAACTTGCCAGGCTAAGAGACAGGGGCTAATGCTAGACAATATCTTTAACACGACCAACCAGCAAGGCTATTAAGAATACTGTTGACCCCATCTTGTGCCTTCTCTCTGTTTTTTCAGGAATTCAAGCTGACCTCCCTTTAAAACCTTGGCTAATTCTCCTTTCAGTTGCTTCTAGACTGGTTGTAACACAGCTGTGATGGCCTGGGACTCAGGCTCGGACTCGGTCTGCACCGGATCCTTTGCCTTAGGCATCATCTGAACCAAGTCTGGGGCCTGATCCTGAAGAGTCCCTGTCTGCACAGGTTCCCCTGCAACAAACACCAGCTAGGCTGAGTCAGGGGCCAGAGCCTACCCTGGCTCCAGATGCGGGGATTACCTTGTTGCCTTCAGCTGGGCCATCACTTACAGCTGTTCCACTACTGGTTTGGTCAGGGGAGGCTGAGGCGGCCCCTGGGTCTAGTAACCCACCGACGTCTCCTGAGCTGCAGAGACTAAGGTCTGAGAGAAGGAGAGACCTGAGTACTCGCAGGAGGAGTGCTCGCCTTCGGGCGAAACAGGGAGGTGAGTCACTGGGGGATCAGGACTGGCTGCTCCCCCGACAAAGATAAAAGGCTGTCGGACCCCACCCCAGGTTGCGGGAGCAACGTTGCTGTGTGCTAGATCCTGCCTGAGATCCTGTACCTGTCCTTGCCTGGTTTCCTGCCTTGTGTCCTGCCTTGGCCCTGTCGGACTGACTCCCAGCAGAACCTTCGGATTCTAGTCCGGTCCTGGACCGTGTTTCACGGGTTACCCCCAGGCCCAGCACAACACTGCAGAATGAGGAACTGAGGAGGATGCCCATTGCAGACCTTAAAGGCTGGTGCAGGGAGGGAGGGTACTTCAAGTACAGTCATACCTCCACGAATGTCTGCCCCCTCGATCGTCCATTTCGGTGGATGGCCGTGGCAAACCCGGAAGTACCGGAACAGGTTACTTCCAGGTTTGCCACTTCGTGCATGTGCAGAAGCTCTAAATTGTGCAGAAGCGCATGCGCAGAAGTGCAAAACCGCTACACGTGCAGAGCGACGCTCTTTTGTCGCATCTCTTTCGTCGAGCGTCTGGGGCTCCGGAACGGATCCCGGACACTCGGCGAGGTACCACTGTATCTAGTTCTCAAGTTGTATGGGTTTTAGAAGTAATTTCTCAGGAACACATCTAAATTATCCATCCATTACTTTCACATACTTCATACGACTAATATTTCTAATCACATAGTCGTATATCTTGCATCCTGTTTACATTAACAGTGTCTTTCTTGTGCCTAAAAATGCATATACATTAATTGCATCTTGTGCCTTATTATTACAATATATTATAAATAAACTCCATTGTGCAGCGAATTCATCAACTGGTGGATTTTTGTGAGGACTTAAAGAAACAATTGCAAACTGCTGCAGAAATAAGGTGAATTAAGCTTAACATTGGAGAAATGAGGAACTGATTCAGCCATCCCTAGAGGATAGATTTAATCCATGCATTCCAACTAAAATTGTGTCCCCCCTCGCACATGCATTTAGCCCCAGAAGCAAAGTTTCCATTGACAGTATAACAAAC